TGTTGTGAAATTTTGGACCCCATCAGCCTCTGATAATGAAATTAACAACACTCCCAAACTAAAAAGAAAATATTTTAATTGCCACAAACTAAGAATCTTTTATATATTTAGGATTGTCATATCAAAAGCAAGCGCGATTTTGCACCAATCATTTCATTAAAGAACAAGCCAGGAGATCCTGGGAACCAATACATGTTTACAAAATAAGAATTGAATCTTTGTTCATGGGCATAATATTATGATGCCTAAAACCGTTCCATTTTGAAGAAAGTACATGTTCCTAAAAGAAAATTCTGAATTAAGGACAGAAGTGTCGGATAAGATTGGATCAGGAAGTTGTGAGAAATTAAAACAAAACCAAACAAGTAAATCACCCAAACACCATCATACATCTGATCCAAGTATGTTCATTCGCAAGCATTCCAAAGAAGAGAAAAAGAAAGAGAGATGGGAGTTGAAAACTAACCAGAATAGTAACTGACGACAGACTATGAAATTTGATTTTTCTTCGGTTCAATCTTCACAGATTTGTCATTTTATAGCGCATTCAACACTACCTGCATTCAATAACCCAGATTTTAATAAGACCAAAAATAAATAAAGTTCCAAAATTTATATATTTATACGGATAAATACATCAACACATGGCATGGAAACAGCACTAGACCCCAGAAACATGCTAGATAGAAAAGTTTACATTTGATTGTGTTTTTTTTAGTCAAAACAAAGTCAAGACAGAAAAAGTTTACCCTGCTAACACCAGAATTATTAAGGTTCCCAGCAGTGCCCCTTTTTGGAACTGCGCAACGTAGAGAGAGAGAGAGAGAGAGAGAGAGAGAGAGAGAGATGACACAGTACACAGAAGTAAGAAGAAGATAATGAAATCTAGATAACTGTAGTTTTGTGTAAATTTTGAGAGAAAATGTTAGATTAGAATAGAAATATCCATAGATGGGTATCTTTTGACTTGAAATCATGGTTTTTTTGGGTGATTAAAGGTGGGCGGGAGNAGAGTGTATTATCCATCCAAAGGTAATGATGTGGAGGCTATTTTAAGCTAGAAAGTCAGCAACGGTAGAAGGACCAGCTGATCACCTTCGGCCGTCTTCAAGCTCAAGAACTTTTACCGGACCAGCAAGACTTTTTTCTGGAGAAACAGTGCAATCTGCTCCTCAACGACTTGAAGCTGTTACTCACGACATCATTTTCTGGAGCAATGGATTCACAATAGATAATGGTNACAACATCAAAGAAGGTCACTGTCATTTCAATAAGTTAGAAATAATTGTTCTTTTTAGACTCATAAATGTAAGATAAGGAAACCAAACACAAATGCAATTTCATCTTTTGTAAATGTTGAAGATAGATGGACCAACAACATCGGGGATAGCAAAGCACAAGACTTTAGGACCAATTTTCAGAAAGAAAAAAAAAAAAACCTTGATGAAAAAGGCTAAAGCCTTTGTACTTTCTAAGAAAATATGAACGCAAATTACACTATTTTGATGTTGTATGATGAATACACCGCAAGCTACCATGTATGCTTTAGCAAGTTAGTATTAACCTGGGATATGGATTTCCCTTCACAACTTTCTGTCCATATTTTCTCCAGCGAAAGCCATCCCCTGTGATCTCAGAATCAGCCGAATTTTGCACCACAATGCATGGATCTTGCACACCATCCTGCGATATGCCTGTTTCATGGGATTGATTTTCGTTTTTCCTTGCAGAAAAAGGGCATAAGTCAACAATACTCCAATATAAGATCGTTTAAAAGAAGGTTTAAACTATTAAAAATGTAACTCAAAACTTAATCTCAAGCATAAGAAATATGTGAATAGATTGTTTTAAATATCATTCAATGTATCAGCTCCAATGGTTTGTGATAGTTTATATAGCAAAAGGACCCCTTCCCCTCACAGGAATAAGAATTGCAGAAGTTAAAAAAACATGAAAGAGAAAAAGGAAGGTAAAAAACATGCACAAGCTTTAATTACAAAACAGAGTATATTACCAGCTATTAGAAGTTAATATCATACCTTCTCTTCCTTTTGGGTTCAGCATCCTCTGCTTCTATTCCCTTGCTTCCTTGCTCACAATCACTACTCAGTCCACAAGAGTTATCAGGAGCTGGTATACCAGCTTTGAATGTTCCAGCTGTAGCAAGATCACATAATAAGGCTTTGTCTGGAGAGGTTGAATTGACAGATGATCCTTTGCCTTGAGAACCTTCAATCCTCTCACTGAGTTGTTTACTACGAAATGGGTTATCTGTATCTTGACCGGTGCCATCAAATACAAATGCTTGCCCTTGTCCTCCTGATGTGTTGTGCTTAAGATGCTGAGGCTTCGAATGGTTGTGCTCACACTTGTAAACAATCTCTGTTATCTGTCCATCCAGTGATCGTTCAACCTTCTTTTTCACTGGACAGTTGGGGTGTGTGCATTTGTAGTAACTTCGAGGAAACTCGCTACCCTTAACTTGCTTTTGTCCATATTTCCTCCAATTATATCCATCATGAGAAGGCCGAACCCCATTATTTGGGGGGTGTGAAGACTTTTGATCCTCTTCCGAGTTCTCTGATGCCATGGTTGAGGCCTCAACTGCTTTCTTTGTTTCTAACTGTGATTCTGAATCCTGATGGAGATTCAAGCTAAGGTTAGATTTCAAATGGTGTTTGACTTCGTTAGGAGATTGAACGTAGGCCTCAACCTGGGACAATGTTTGTTGGTGACGAATATTAGTGTTTACCTGGACAAAACAGAACAGTGGCATCCGTATCTCAATATCTAGGCCCTTGAAGTTTACAGATAGATTAAAAAGCAAATTTTTTTTTTTTTTTGGGGGGGATTATAGAAAGCAGAGAAATACATTATAAATCTCCATTCCCAGACTGCCATTATGATGTGAGAACAGTAATAGTATGTAAAATACAGGAACTGACCAAATTTGCAAGGAGAGAAACAGTAGTCTTTGAGACAACTTTCGCACGGGGTTTGTAGACCACAGTGGATTTGCTCTCTAATTTTTGGACCTGGTCAGATGAATTAACTATCGCAGCTCCAGATATGCCATTCTGAAAACATTGAACACCATGATAGTAAAGGGAAAAAAATCTCCTAGAAAGAAAAGGGCATCCCAAATGAGAAGTCAATGAATGAAGTGGTCACCTGGGAAGAAATCACCCCGACTGGAGGAAGATTTGCCACTGGCTTTAACCTCACTGTTTTTGGTCTGATTGCAGTGACTGCTGCATCAGGACATGTGTTAGAGGGTGATGCGCTGATGGCACCTGCAAGGAGCTGTGAGAATGACCTAAAACTGGAATAAGTAGGCTTTGAAGCAACTGGTTTGGCTATAACAATCCTCTCTGCGTCTTTCACCTCCATCTTCAATGAATATAGAAATGTCTAGTCAGTCTTTTGGCATATGATATGTCACTGGAAGTTGGAGACGAACTTGGAAATTCAATTCTCATTGATCCATCTATTTCAGACTAATACGTCTAGATATCTAAAAAAAAAAAAAAAGTTACAGTGGGTACATGCAATATCAAATGGTGATCAACTTCTTTCTTATGTTAACTCCAGACAATCAAACCGCAAAATTCATTTTCTCAAACCTAACTCATTCAGTTATCATGTCACTAAACCAAAAAAATAGTAAAGAATACAATCATGGACACGACATCAGAAGAGGTAAGTTGTCCTATCATAAAGAAACTATTTTCCAATCGGACCAGCTTATGCAGTTGATATGTCAATCAATTTCACATTTATTATTCATCCTGCCTTTTGAACATAATTAAAATTTTAAGCATGCTTCTAAACATAATCTATATCTCTGCAATTTCAATCATAGAAGTTATTTTGAGCTGAAGGACTACTCTAACAAATTTCAACAGTTAACGACACCACTTCTCTTACAAACGTAAAACAGTAAAAGATGTTCTTTCGGTTGACTTCTACTATAATATTTCCTTAACTTTGTAAAATTTTCTCAAAGTCATAGGGTTGGAAATATATTGAAGGCCAGTAAATCATAACTCAGGTGAGAATGCCACTATATAAAGCAAATGATAAAATCACATTTGAGTCTGCAAGAATTGTGGAATCTAGTCCTCTTACAAACCATTCCCACTCCCTTTAAAGTTTTCTCCCTAGCCGAAAATATAAATTTTCCTTTTCGTTTGAGGTAGCATCAACCTGTAGACACAACTTGCTGCCATCCTCCAATGTTTGTTACTTCAAATTTATTTGCTTATGGCCATCATCACTCAATGAGTGTTAACTATAATAACAACACTTATCCATTTACAACTCCATTATAAGCCAACTTTCCATTGCAACTACAAGTTTAGAAGAACTCTGATTTCTTTAAAAACCTGATGCCATTTTCCCTTAAATTGCTCTTACTGCTCATTAGATTGTTAGGAAATATGCCCCTTAACACAACTTACGATGATGCACTTTTTAGTTGTGCAAAGACAAGCCCCAAAGGATCTCATCATGTTGTGAAATTTTGGACCCCATCAGCCTCTGATAATGAAATTAACAACACTCCCAAACTAAAAAGAAAATATTTTAATTGCCACAAACTAAGAATCTTTTATATATTTAGGATTGTCATATCAAAAGCAAGCGCGATTTTGCACCAATCATTTCATTAAAGAACAAGCCAGGAGAAGATCCTGGGAACCAATACATGTTTACAAAATAAGAATTGAATCTTTGTTCATGGGCATAATATTATGATGCCTAAAACCGTTCCATTTTGAAGAAAGTACATGTTCCTAAAAGAAAATTCTGAATTAAGGACAGAAGTGTCGGATAAGATTGGATCAGGAAGTTGTGAGAAATTAAAACAAAACCAAACAAGTAAATCACCCAAACACCATCATACATCTGATCCAAGTATGTTCATTCGCAAGCATTCCAAAGAAGAGAAAAAGAAAGAGAGATGGGAGTTGAAAACTAACCAGAATAGTAACTGACGACAGACTATGAAATTTGATTTTTCTTCGGTTCAATCTTCACAGATTTGTCATTTTATAGCACATTCAACACTACCTGCATTCAATAACCCAGATTTTAATAAGACCAAAAATAAATAAAGTTCCAAAATTTATTTATTTATACGGATAAATACATCAACACATGGCATGGAAACAGCACTAGACCCCAGAAACATGCTAGATAGAAAAGTTTACATTTGATTGTGTTTTTTTTAGTCAAAACAAAGTCAAGACAGAAAAAGTTTACCCTGCTAACACCAGAATTATTAAGGTTCCCAGCAGTGCCCCTTTTTGGAACTGCGCAACGTAGAGAGAGAGAGAGAGAGAGAGAGAGAGAGAGAGAGATGACACAGTACACAGAAGTAAGAAGAAGATAATGAAATCTGGATAACTGTAGTTTTGTGTAAATTTTGAGAGAAAATGTTAGATTAGAATAGAAATATCCATAGATGGGTATCTTTTGACTTGAAATCATGGTTTTTTTGGGTGATTAAAGGTGGGCGGGAGTGGGTGGGGACTAAAAGGTCACGAGGCCAATGGTCCATTAGCACGGCCAACTACCACTCTCTTTTGCTCTTTGACTATCTGTTATCTGTTATAATAATACGTGAATTTAAAAAATAAATTTAAAAATTAAATTTGATAATCTTAACCATTAATTTTATTATGAGTCTCAGTATTTATTAAAAATTCACTACCTATTCAATGATTGAGATTCAAGTCTAATTTTTAAGTTTAGTTTTTAAATCCATCTAACATTACTCTATAAATATTATCAACTAGAGTCCAGCATGAAATATATTTTTAATTTATTTTTTTTTTCTTTTTCTTGTTATTATTTAAGAATGTAATTGGAGGAACACTTAATAGAATAATTATTATTTATTTTATATAAATAGAAAGATGTCTCACTCAAATTTAATGGCATGCCATTGGAAAAACTGTCTATAATTAATTCTTTGTCGGGAATGAGAATACCCGATTTTTTTTTAATAATATTTTTTTAAAAAAAATCTGTTGATGATATTAAATTTTTAAAATGTATATTTATAGTAGGATTAGTGCTAAATGAATAGAGTCCATGATCATTCTAATAACCAAGGATTAAAATTTTATTTCGATAACCTAAAACATAAAAACGTTTCAAAAATAAAAGTGTTATGAAAATAAAATAAAAATGAATAAAATAAATAAAATTTTACTTAAAGCATTATGAAATTTTGGTTGAAAAATATGGAAACAACTTAAAATACTTCAAAATATTACGAAACACTAATATAAATATGTCGACACTTGAAAACATTAAAATTTTAATTCAATCATTGATTTATCTTATCTCATAAAAATGAAAACATTTCGACTGCTTCACTTATTTCGATTGTTTTGACACGAATTTTTTATCCTTACTAATAACAGCAAATTTGATTAGCAAGTTTAATGAATATCATTATTATTTTTGTTTTTGTCACATTACAGACATAGCGGTGGTGAGAGACAATTTTGTAAAAATAACAATTACACAATATGGATTAACACCGACAAGAAGTGTAAATTCTGAATTTAAAAACTCTATAAAGAGCTAATTATTTTTTACCCTCAAAGCTTTTTATCCAAGTTTGAAAAAACTATAATCTTTTTTTTTAAGGTAAATAAACGAATTTCATTCATAGAAATATTTAGTGTAACAAAAGCAAGGGGAAAAAAAAACCTCAGAGTACAATAACATAAAGCTGAAATCTAATAAACTTTTTTTTTTTTGAAGAGAAAGAGGAAGAACTTAAACCCTTGACCTCAAAAAGACAAAATTTTCGTAAAATAAGAAGTACCATTAGACCAAAAAATCTGTTGGTTTAAATCTAACAAACTAGTTTGTAACACAGCACATTGGCTTTACCAGCATTTCTACCTTAAATTCAGTTTGGCACCCCTCACCGTTTCAAACACTGGTCATGTTCAATCTTTTCCAGTTTGCCGGCCATAAAATAACTTGAGGGCATGACCAATTCTTTTTTTCCTCAATTTTCATTTTCTCCCATGTTTCCTTTCCTTACCAAATAAATAAAAAAAATATATCATTAATCAAGACCAAGTTTGTATGGAATCCCATGATACTCGTTGTTCTTAAATCCCCCTCATGAGCAGAAAAGTCCTAGTTCCACCCCAAAATTTTTGAAAAAATATATATTGGGACATAATTTTGAAACATTGATAACGTTCGTTCAATATTGGAGCTGATAATTTAATTGTTATAATCATTAAGAGTGTGTTTGGGATGACTTAAAAGAAAAAAACACTTATAGAGTTTTTGACTTATGATAAGCCTTTTTCTTAAAAAAAATAGTATTTGGAATAATTTCTCAAAAACACTTTTAAATAAGTAAAAATAATTTTAACACTTAAATAAGTTAATAAGTTGGAATAAAAAAAAATAACTTTTTCTTTTCATAAAACACTTTTTTTTTTATTTCACAATCCGCACCCCCTGCCTCCTCGACATCCCCAGACGACACCGATCACCGTCGACGATGACCACCGACGAAGCTCGAGAGTGTATTATCCATCCAAAGGTAATGATGTGGAGGCTATTTTAAGCTAGAAAGTCAGCAACGGTAGAAGGACCAGCTGATCACCTTCGGCCGTCTTCAAGCTCAAGAACTTTTACCGGACCAGCAAGACTTTTTTCTGGAGAAACAGTGCAATCTGCTCCTCAACGACTTGAAGCTGTTACTCACGACATCATTTTCTGGAGCAATGGATTCACAATAGATAATGGTGCTTTGAGGAGTTTGGAGGATCCTGAAAATGCATCCTTCTTGGAGGTGGGTAGTACCACTAAATTTCTATTTTGAGTGGTGTGAAAGTTCTGATATTCATTATATGGAATAATAGTTGGTACTGCAAGTTTGCAGTTATAATCCAAAGTTGTGGTAAATGTATGTCCCCATCTTTTGGGCGAGTCATTGAAATTGCTTATTGCTCATGCTGTGATATCTTGATGATTTGTGTTGATATGCGATAACATTTGTATTGCCCATTGTCCACTGCCCCCACCAACTGTTTGATTTATGGCCAAGCAAACTAAGCTCAACAAAAGCATTAATAAGTGGAAGATACACACACCATATATTTTTACATCAAAACATATTTTTTATATAATACTTTAATTTAAGCATTTTTTATTTTGAATATCCAAATAATACCTATTTAATAAAAGTGTTTTTCTTATAAAACACTTTTGATAAACACTTATTGAAAAAATTTATATGAAATTTCATAAGTCATCTCAAACACACTCTAAATCTTAAGATTGGTGGTCCAATAGGATATTGGATGAACTTTTCATATAAGGTCGGAAGTTTGAATCTTGGAATTCATATTGCAGTTCAATGGTTGATTGTTATATTAGCCTAATTAGGTTCGTTTCTTAGAGATGTAATGAGTGCGGTCAAAAGCCTCATCTCTGAATAACCTTACTTTTTTTTTTTTTGGGCAAGGGGTGTCATATATTAATAATTAATCAAGATCAAAATAGAATTTGAATGGTGAAGGTGGTTTGCCATTTGGCAAGGGAATTAGTGGATTCATTAGAGCATCTCCGAGAGATGTTGTATAGTACAAAAATAGCTAAAATTTAACTAATCAAAACAAAAATTTATATTCCAACAGATGCTCTTCAAATACTCTAAAATAGATTTTTACTAAAGTGATACTCTAAAAATAGAGTATCACTATAGCAATTTGTAAACATATTTTATACTATTTTCTCTCTCTTCCTCTCCTTTCTTTCATTCTTTCTTTCATTATTACAAAAAAAAAAAAATTTAAAAGAAACGAGAAATAATATTTAAAAGAAGTAGTTAAAAATATAAAAAATCTATTGGAGTATGTATTGAAAAAGTTAGTAGTTAAAATAGAAAAAATTGCTTTTTAAATAGCTAAAATATAATTTGTATAGAGATCTTGTTTGAGGACCTTATTTAGGGACCTAGTGATGTAATTTCAATACAATTATTAGATTAGTTGTGAGTTTTAATATTTGATAAAGTTCACAACCAATCTAATAGTTGTACATCATTAGATCCCCCAAATAAGATTAGGTAGGAAAAATGAGGACACGTGGCGTTGTGTCCAAAATGGAAATTCTACTCAGACTGGTACTTGGTGTTGCCCATTGCACTTGCGCACTTCCCTGAAATGCCCCTTTGTAACATATTTTGGCAATATAAATTGATTAAAACAAATATGAAAATATTGTAAAGGTGAACCTGCTTACATTTTATTCTCTTTTGATCATATCATGATTGAAGCGTGCTTTGGATAATTTTGTTTTTTTATCCGTGACACCATTGTTTGTTTTGGATTTTTGTATACAATACATAAACAATTGCATTCATATGATTGATTCTAGGGTAAATCGCAAATTACACCTCAAAAGATTCTTCAAATTTTAATTTATACCTTCAAAGATAAAAAAAATTTCAATTTACACTCTTAAAGATATAAATTTGTATCAATATATACCTAAAACTAACAGATATCAATTTACTGTTTAAAGTTAAATAGATAAATTATACTTAGACCCCCTTATATTTATTACTTAATTATTTAGACCTTTTACATTTGAAATATTACATCTACATTCCTTGAGAATCTAAATATGACTAAAAATGTTTCTCTAATTGGGCATCCAAATAATTCTGTTCAAGTGATATATTGCATTAGATATAAAAAAAAATATTATACAAATATCTGCATTATATTGGACATTGAAATGGTGAGTTTGATTTTAAACTTTAGAATATAATGGACCCACAATATAAATGGTAGTATTGAAAATTATAATTTTTTATTAGGATGAAATCATGTTTTTTAACAGTTATATTAACAGATATCAACGGCAATGAACTATGTGTTACACATACACAAACTTTAAGAGGTATAAGAGTAATATTCCTAATGTGAGGGGTCTAAATAATTAAGCAACAAACTTAAAAAGAGTTTAGGTGTAACTTACCCAGCTAGTTTTAAACCGCAAACTAATAGTTGTTAACTTCAGGTGCGCATTAAAACAAATGTATATCTTTTAGGAAGCAAATTGAGATTTTTTATCTTTAAAGATACAAATTAAGATTCAAAAAACCTTTCGAAATATAATTTGCGATTAACCCTTGATTCTAAAATGTATGATCCAGATCAATGCTCTTCTTCACTATAAAAACTTAATGTCCCTATAAATTTTATGGCTAGTTATTTAATTCCTAGTTTTCAAGGACAACATTATTATTGTGACTTAGATGTTGTTGCATTGATTTAAATTTTTCAACCAAGGTCATTATGGATTTTAAGTCCTCTTGGAATGCTTAGAATCAAAGTCCCTCAAAAATATGATGGGTCCTTGACGTCCAAAGGTTGATACATTGGTTGTTTGGCATCAGTTTTCGATCTTATGTCATCTGATTTTGAATTCTTTTAAGTTTAGCCTAACATTGTTGTATGAAGAGAACATTATAATAATGAAAACTTTGCGATCAGGATTAAATCACATTACCACGCACATTCTTAGTCCGACTTTGGAAGCATTTCTCACAATTTTTTTGAGCACAAGGAAAATGTGAATTAGTGTGGAGCCCACTAGATCTTCTCAACGACCTTTTCTTAGGCCTCAATCATGAAATCCTAACCATTTCCATCGGAAAAACCTCTGTAAGTTACGACTTTTTCCTGGGATTAATACCAACACATGCAACAAACGTTCTGCTTAAAACATCATCTGCCATCTTTTCCATGTGAGACTTCATTAGGTTCCTCAATTGGTATATCGTTTGTATCCCAAACGAGCACTTGCTCAGCAACTCATCTTTATCGGTACAAAAAGTGTGGTCCTTTACTTGGGTACAAAGGTGTGGGAGAAAAGGAAGTCCAAAGGTCTCTCTCTCTCTCTCTCTCTCTCTCTCTCTCTACGTATATACATGTATATGCTTATGCGTGTGTGTGTGCGCGTGCGAGCGCATGTAACAGCACCATTCATCAATGAAGGAAATTAATCAACCTAGTTGTTCAGTAACTCATCTGTGTGGTGTGTGGGTGTGCGCANTTAGTTGTTCAGCAACTCATCTCTCTCTCTCTCTCTCTACGTATATACATGTATATGCTTATGCGTGTGTGTGTGCGCGTGCGCGCGCGAGCGCATGTAACAGCACCATTCATCAATGAAGGAAATTAATCAACCTAGTTGTTCAGTAACTCATCTGTGTGGTGTGTGGGTGTGCGCACGTGCGCGGGTGTTTATCAGCACCATTCATCAATGAAAGCAATCAAAGAAGGATGCCTATGTACACACACACAGACTGTTATGTGCTACCATCTATTTTGCATGGAAAAATTAGCATAGATGTAAAGAAGGCAATGGTTATAACTTACACCATATCTATGATGAACGCAGATTGGCTTTTGCTGTAGGAGTGGTTGTTGGCATCTGAAAGCAAGAATCCTCAAGAGCTCATGCTTCATCCAGTACATATTGTGACTAGTAATTCAAAAGCTTTATGCCTTACCATTCTGCATTCCCCTAGTTGCATGAAGCAGGATCCAACAAAGCTGTTTCATCTGCAAAATAACAAAGGTAAGTTGACAGAAAACCTTTAGACATTAATGCTTGATTGCAGTTCACATCTTGATGCATATAAACATGTCATGGAACAATGAATTTTTACAAATGCACAAATCCATCATCATGCGTCAAGCCATTGATGACAAGAAGTAATTGAATTATCACACAACGTAAATCTATGAAGCTTATTACATCAATCTTGTGGAATCGGCATGTCATCAAATTCATCCAACCAACTTGGCAGAGAGTTCAGGTAAAGTCGTTTTGTAGAACCCCACATATGACCATACAAGATCTACAAGTGATGACAAAGCAAAATAGAATTTGAGTGTATCTGTGAGTTTTACTCATCATAGCCATTCAAACTTCACGAGATGTCCAAGCTAAGCCAGCAATACATTAGATAGTAGTTTCAAACTGGACTCAACATGAACTTCACAACTTACTGAACTACAAATATCAAAACATACGGCGACCCAACCCTATGAAGCAAGTCAATAAACACCACTACGAAAATGGAAAATGGTCGTTATTGCATAAGGGAACCGTTTCAAGAGGAACACCTTCTTCTACATGTTATTTATGAAAGTAGTTCAAATTTACATTTTCAGATTTATCAGACCACTAAGACCTTCAACCAAGGATACTCAGGAACACCTCTTTCTGTACACAGCTCATATATCGCAAGGATAAGCTTCAAGCAAATATCAGGTAAGTGGATTGAATTAGCATTCTGCAGCACTGTTTGAGCTGTCATTTGCTGTATGCCGAACAAACTGTCCGCGAACACGTGGCCTCTGTTCTGCTAATTTCTTCCTATTCTGGTATCGTACCTAAAGAAAGAGAACACAACACACAAAAAAAAAGTATCAATAATACAGTTCATTAAGTTTCCACAAAAAAAAAAAAAAACTACAAAAAACACTGTTCCATAAATACAAATAGATCGATGTCATCGTTCCAAGAGAGTGGCCAACGGGCTACTGGGAAAGGTGGAACAGATTACGTGACTGATCCACAATCAAAATAGTCGGNAGTATCAATAATACAGTTCATTAAGTTTCCACAAAAAACAAAAAAAACTACAAAAAACACTGTTCCATAAATACAAATAGATCGATGTCATCGTTCCAAGAGAGTGGCCAACAGGCTACTGGGAAAGGTGGAACAGATTACGTGACTGATCCACAATCAAAATAGTCGGTAGCATGGTATGTGCCCATGCTAAGTGAATTGGAAAGCTTAGATCATAATATGCGTTTTTGCCCCTGATCTACCTCCTTCCTGCCCTTTATTTATTAATCGTATGATTTCATCAGGATTCTAAGTGATCACTTCCAGGATACAAAGTCAAAATAAGCTACACTAGAAGATACTTCAATAGACACCAAATGAGTTTAGTACAGCCACTATTGATGCAATACTTGGGGTTTTAAAAAGTAATGATGACCATATCCAAGGAGCAGAAACTGCATTCATAATGTTGAGGGGTTCAAATGTGAACAAACTACATATGCCATGTCACTTCATCACATTAGTGCTTGACATTGCATGCTTTTGTGTGTGCTTGTGCATAGGCTATCATCCAAGTGCACCAAAACTAGATGGAAGCCTTAAATATCCTATTATGTGGTTTCACCACCAGTGTAGGAATCAGATCTCCATAATTTTGGAGTAAGCCAGTGTGACACATCCAACTCATATTGCAAAATATTCTCTACTTTGAGCTAGGATCACACCGCTTTAAGACGTCTTGTAAAATTAAGGTCCATAACTCACACTTATAAAGCAACTCTCCCACACACTTCTCAAAGCAGAGTAAAACAAGGTACATGGACTTGATACCCTCATTTCATCTCATTCATCTTGGCCCCAAGCGTAGGAGGCGTTGGTCTCTTCACCACAATCCACCCTTTTAGGACCACACATCCCCCTGTCGAGCCCGCCTCACATTTCTTGTTGGTGCTAGCTCCGAAATTCACATACAGTGTACAAAACAACATAAATTGTAATGCTTCAGCCCCGACTCTGCAATATTCTCCGTTCGAGTAAGGCTAGCATGACATTAAATTGCATTGTACAATAATGGTTCAAATCTCACACTTATAAGGGAACCTCACACACACTTCATTAAGTAATACGGGACAAGTACATAGACTCGGCACTCTCACCTCACCTTATTTATCTTGGCCCCAAGTCTCTGGAATCCTAACCTCTTGATCTCTCAGGTCAACACAGACTAACTACCACTTCCTTTTCCAGACTCTTGTGCACAGCGTATGACATCAAGGTTCACCACCCCCAGAATAGTGTCGTGTGAAGCCATATGTTACCCAGTGCACAAGGGTCTCAAAGAGGTATCCAGTATCTACCCTTACCAGACATGTAGGTTCACCACCCTCAGCACAGTGTTTGGTGAACCTAAATGTCATGCCCAGTTCGTGGGATTTAGCTTTGCATCTATGCATAAACCAGTTGGTAAACCAATTGTCTGGTGAACTAGATCTTGCATCTGGTCAACGAATAATACCTTCTATTTATACAGTACTAGTTAATTTATCTATACTAGGGCAAAGTTTTATAGTTTGGGAAGTACCTCTTNATAAACCAGTTGGTAAACCAATTGTCCGGTGAACTAGGTCTTGCATCTGGTCAACGAATAATACCTTCTATTTATACAATACTAGTTAATTTATCTATACTAGGGCAAAGTTTTATAGTTTGGGAAGTACCTCTTAGGGCAAAATCTTTAATTTATGAATCGCATATTTACTTCTATATTCATCTCCATACAGAAAAGAGGAGATAAAAATGGGACAATAATCAAGCAGAAATAAAAAAAAAAAAAATAACATCTCTCCTGTGGTAGTAATCAAACACCATCAATGATGACGTTATCAACTAAACCTACTATTACCTTACTTTCTAAAGCATTGCTCCTTCCTCTTCTGCCGAAACTTGTTCAAGGCAGCCTCTCTCAGCACATATTTAGTTTGATCCATTCTATTTCCACTACCGCTCCCACTAGCATCAACACTTCTACTTTTCCCAGCTAATCCAGTCTCACTTTCTGCCTTTGTTCCTCCAGCATTAATGGCAGTGTTGCCTTCCTTCAGCCCGTTGCTTCCAAGGTTACTGCCTGAAGCACTTCTGTTCAGACTGAAATTTCCAGGGTTACCTTCAACAGGCCCACTCAACACATTTGATGACCCACATTGTGGAACATCTGCAGCAGATTTCTTCAATAGTGGACCATCATGGTTGGATGGTGTCTCTACTTGTTCCATGTCATGAAAATGATGGTGATGATGATGGTGATGAATGTGCTGAATCGGGACCTCCTGGTGTGAGGGTGGAGCGAGTGCTGGTGGAGTGACCACGTCATCAGCCTTTGCTAATACTTGCTGTGAGGTGCATCTGAGGTCATTTTTTAGAGGTTTAAAAACAGATGATAAGTGCAAACCATGGATTGTCGATGTTGCTTCCGACTTATCTTTCAAAATTAATACGTTAGTAGAAAGTTTATTAGTGGTGGAGGCCATGTCTATAATATTGCTAACCCCATTTGAGCTTGGATAGAGAATGTTTCCATCTGAATGAGCTCTGGTATTGCAGACTGATTCTTTTTTAATGACCTCTAGGCTATTGTCAAGTAGAGAACTACTTCCAGCGTTAGGGGCCTTAAAGGCATTTGATGTTGTTGTGTACCTGTAAAATGACATATAGCGTATGAATAACTCAATCCTATGAAAATCCCATTTCAAAGCAATGGAATACAATGATATCACATGGTCATGTTAAAAATGAAAATTATCATCACATGGTATTTGTTTCCTTCAGACCTTGAGAAGGCAGAAAGCTCCGAGCGTCTCAAGACATTGCGATCATCTTGAACTGTGTTGCTGCCATCTTTAACTCCTCTAAGCCTCTTTAAACTAAGCTTGATGGCGGGTAATTCCTTAGAATCGTCCATGCCTATGTTGTTTACTAAAATCTTTTCAACTTCTCTAGGAGCCTCAAATTCCCTGCTGTTCATCAGAGGATCAAACATGCTGGCAATGTCTACTTTTTGTTTATTGGATGGACAACCAACGCAAGGATTTTCCAGTCCCTTTTCAATCCTTCTGCTTGCCTTAGACTCTAATTCAGACAAGGTATTCTGCTTTCTACCTAGAAGGTCTTTTGGAACACCAATTGGATTCTCAGGTAGCTCTGCTGGATTTTGAAGTTCACCTGTCAACAACTCTTTCCCCTTTGTTACATTTACTGGAAAGAAATTAAAAAAACAAATCTAATTCAGAGAAAGTAGGAACAAATACAAAACAAGCTAAAATGTTGAACAACACCGAGATTCATCTACAGCTACATTTGTAAACATCTAATTCCAACAATGTCATGCATACCAAGTTGGTCTTCTTGTTCTTGGCAACCCCTTGTTGCAGTCTGAGGCATCCATTTGTTCACAAAGTGCTCAGCATTTGATCGGATAACTTGGGCACAAGTGCTGTCTGGACGGTCAGCTATTTGATTACATGGAGACACTGCTTGAGAGCTGTCAACTTCTACAGCTTGTTTTGTCCAAGTACTCTGCAAAATACAATTTCTCTTTTCTTAAGAGACAATTTTATTAATAGTAAAAAAAAAAATAGTAGAGCTGGGCAATGAATCCAACTTAACGTATAATGAAAAGAAGCAAAAGATTATATTCAAATAGCAGGCCAAGACAAAATCACATTCCACTAATTGACAAACCACATTCCAACTTTGGTGAACAACAAAAAACAAAATATCTCAAAACTCTTCAGTAGCCAATGCCCATAAAGATGCCACAAACTTAGCTCTCTCCAACAACAATCTCCATATTCCCTTGTGCCATCAAATATTCTCCTACTTTTCTCCATCCAAACTGTTAAGAGTATTAGAGTATTATTTATGTAAATACTAGTTGTAATAGGTATATCATAAAGAGGGTATACTCGTCTTTTGTATGATCACGAGATAAATATAAATACAAGTGGTTTATAAGAGGTAGTTTAAGCTTTTTGACCACTCTCCGTTTCTCTAATATTGTGCTAATTCTCTAAACTTAACATGGTATCAAAGTAAGGTTGATCCAAATTTTAATCCAAGAACTTTTTTTTTTTTTATTGATCCAAAATTTGATCTGAGAACTTTTTTTATTGAAGATTTGATCTGAGAATTTCTTTCTTCATCTCTCTTTCTTCTTTTATTTTCAGTTCAATTTATGTTCCGTTAATCTGATTTCTCAGACAGTGTAAACCCACGACCATGGTCTAGGGTCGTGGGTGATGGTTTAATGTCAGACTCCTTGTGAGTGTGTTGTGGAGGTCGATTGTGATTGGTTGTAGGTTGTGGGTTGTGATTGTTGTCTACAACTGGTATGTCATCACTGTGCTGCGACATGTGTTGTAGTCTGTGATCGTGGTGGCTGTTGTGTTGTGATTGTTGCTATGTGGTGGTCGTTAGAGGTCTGGGAGGTACCCTCTGTTGCTGCCAGAGCATGGTTGTGGCTGCTAGTAGCGTGGTAGTGGCGTTGGTGGAAGACACCGTTGGAACTAAGTTTTTTTTTTTCTCATGTGGAGAAGACGAGCTCAACACATCGGGTCGGAACTTAAATAACTTTCAAAGCCCAGCCATCCAAGTTTCAAAGCCCCAATCCACATATTCAAGTTTGAGCCCAGTTCACTCAGCCCCAATCCACATATTCCAGTGGGCTTTTTGGGTCCAGTTCAGCGTTCCAACAGCCTTTTCCAACCCGGTTCAGTGGTCCAATAGTTGGTTCTGGTCCAGGTTCAGCATTCCAGTGGGCTTTTTTGGTCCAATTCAGCGTTCCAGTGGTCTCTCTAGTTCAGCTTCTCCCAGCCTCCCTACTCTGATGTTCTGTGCTACTTAAGGTCTTTTCTCACCTTTGTTCTTATTTGAGTGCCCCTCACTTGTTATATTTACTATGGAACCCAAGCAAGGCACTACCACTCCACATTTGCCACTGAACTTTTCTCTCACAGTTCTCCTTAATGGTCCCATGACTTTCATTAAGCTCAATGGGACCAATTATTTTTTATGGGCATGGTCGGTTCAAGTGTTTCTCAAAGGCAAATGTTTTAAAAAATATTTTGTGGAAACTAAACCCGAGGAAAGTGATCTTGGGTATGATTGGTGGGAACATGAGGATGTTCAGATTATCTTTTTACTTTTGAATAGCATCAGGACCAATATTAGCTCTACTTTGCTTTATCTAGACATGGCCAAAGAGAGATGGGTTCACTTGGCCACCATGTATTCTAGCACAAGTAATTTTACTCGTGTATATGAGGTGTGCAAATAGCATTTTCTCCTAGAACGGAATACTCTGAGTCTCAAGAATTATTACTCTCACATTCGGACAATTTGTGAGGAATTGAAGCTTTACCACCCTTTCACTACTAATGCAGCAATTTGACAGAAACAACATAATTATTTGAATGTTGTTCATTTTCTGGTGAGTTTGAAACCTGAATATGAGTCTATTCACTCTCAGATTTTGGGTGACTCTAGTCTTCCCTCTTTACTTGAAGTTTTCTCCCGTTTATAGTGTGTTGCCTTGTCTACTGGCTCTTTAGGCACTGATCATGGTGTTTTCAGTGATCACTCAGTTCTTGTTGTTCCTACTAGCCACAATGATGGTCCTCAGGGTGCACGTCGTAATCACGGTGGTCGTGGAGGTACCGGAGGCCATACTAGCAGTCGTGGAGGCCGTACTGGTCCTCGTGTGG